TCTTCCCCCAAACCATGAGTTGATTCGCATGTGCCCTCAACCCTGAACCCTAAACCCTAAGCCCTAAACCCTGAACCCGTCGGCTGCCTTTGGCCTTGGTGAGCAGCAGCATGCTGCTTTTGGCCGCTGAGTGCAGGACCCCGCTACGCACATCACGGGCGAAGTGGATGTAGACTCCTCCGACTGGGCCAAGAAGTATCACAGGACCCTCAGGACGCTGAGATTCTGCCCTACCCACCCTACAGGCGCCCCTAAAGAAAAAACAAGCTTTGCAGGACTATCCGCTACGAGTTCGTGGCTTTAAGCTTGGTCATAACCGAGACTTAGCCAAATTGTTTGGGAGGTTGGGGGTCTAGGCTTTGAGGGTTAAATGAACTAACCTTAAATCCTAAACCCTAAACCCAAAGTCTTCGGATGGAAGCTTTGATTTCCGGTTCAAGTATTGGGCGAAGGGTTCTTCGAATCATCCGCTGTAAACAGCTCCAAGGCCTCAACCTGCAGCATGTGCGGGTGGTTGCGCTTAGCGTTTAGGGTTCAGGGTTGCGGGTTGGGGGTTGAGGGTTTAGGATTTACGGGGGTTTGCTTGGGTTCCCTCATTTTTATCTTGGTGGTCTTGTAAGGTGGTGGTCATGAACGTGGGATTCCTGGGGGAGCTCTACTAGAAGCCCGACCTTATTCTCACGGGTTGGTTCATTTCAGTTGCTTCATGTCGTCAGCCGAAAACCCTAAACAACCCTAACCCCTATAATCCCTAACCCCTATAAACCCTAAACCCCAAACCCTACCCCCCCCCCCCCCCCCCCCCCCCCCCCCCCCCCCCCAAGAAAGACCAGAACTGAGAGATGAGAGATCTGACGCCGCAAAACCTTTAGGATGTAGGGTTTCGACTGACAAACCCCAACCCTAGACCCCAAGCCCGATGCACCCTAAACCACAAACCTTCGACCCCAAACCCTATAGGCCCCAAACCCTATAGACCCTAAATCCTAAACCGCAAACCCGATAGACCCTAAAACACATAGACAATAAACGGCACCCGTAGTTTTTTTTGTTGTGGGTGTTTTGTAGCTGTGGGATTTTTTTTTCGGGGCCCGCCTCGGTGAGTGAGTGGCCTGCCGCGCCACACACCCCCAAACCCCGCCCCCCCCAACCCCCCAACCCCAACCCCCCCTTAGCTTGCTTCAAAGCATATACATCTTTTCCGAACCCATCATGCGAGCATCCCCACCGCTTGAAGCCATGCCAGCTTGCTTCAAAGCATATGAATCCTTTCCACACCCCATGTGAGCATTGTGCAAATGGGGGGGGGGGGGGGGGGGGGCGGCACCCTCCCTCCCCATCCCGCCCATCCCGCTGTTTTTGCGCTAGCTTCAAATATGTTCCAGAGTCTCGCATTATGCTTGCAGTCAGATCCAAACCTCTCATGCGAGCATCGTGTTTGCAAATGGGGGGAGGGGGCGTGCGCCTCCCCAAACCCCCCGTCTCTTTGAAGCCGTGCAAGCATGCCACATGAATCATGATGAATCCTTTCCAAACCCATGATGCGAGCATAGCGTTTGCAAATGGAAGGGGGGGGGGGGAGGGGGGAAGTTGCTTCAAAACATTTCAAGACGGACCTCTACTATTCAGATGCGAATCAGGAAACCTCTTGCTATGTTTTGATAGGAAAACCTTTACTCCTGTATGTTTAATAAGAAAGTTGCATTTTCCTCTGATGAAGTGTTTCGGTGAGATGTGTTTGAAGTACAAAAAAGAATCCATCCTTCGAAAGCGAGGTTTACAAATTCTTAGGGCCTTTGGGGGTTTTCACAGCTTGGCCCCCCCCAACAGGCAGCAACAGATAAGACGACCCGATTGCGGCGCAAGCGGATGCGTTACTGGGCCTCACGTCGCAGATTTGGTGCCTAAGACCAGCTGTAAACCTAAACTACAAAAACATATAAAAAACATCCTATATTGCCCTTATACCCTTATAAGGAAGAGTTGTTTTTTTATATTTGGGAGGTTCTGAAGCAAACAGTAGTAAAAATCCTGGACCTTGACCCGCCCCCCCTAATCCACCTGGAGGCTGAAGCGCTCAGACCCTGTTGGGACATACGCTGTGCTTCGGTTTCTTGGGAACTCCCTTCCGTCGCTTAATGTTGGATTGTAAGAGGTTCTTTGCCTTTCATTTTCTATTTCTTTCTTCTTTTTCATATTTTTAATCTACATTTTCCATCTTTTTATAATCCTTTAAGGAATGCCATTAATAATAAAATAGCATTTTTCCTTTCATTATTAGTAAAGATTTCTATGGAAAGATATTGATTCTCTATCTATATCTTCTTCAAATCCATTTCGGCTTCTCTTCTTTCTCACATCCAGATAATGCATTAGGAGCATGTGGATTACTTACTCCTTTACATATAGTACCTGAATGGTATTTCTTATGCCAATATGCTATGTTAAAAGCCGTACCAAATAAAAATGCAGGATTCATTATCTTATTTACTTCTATCTTCATCCTATTTTACTTTATGAGAAGTCTTTCAATGTCATTCTATTTTTATTACAGTTGCTCCCATAGTAAGGTGGCATCATCGTGCCACGGGGCCACCTGCATCTGCTACATCATGCTGTTCCTGGCCAATGTCCAGCCCAAGGATGCAGAGGATTGGCTACCAGGCTGTTATCAACATGCCTTTGTCAAAAGACACCGAGGTAGGTGGAATTCGGCTGGAGAAGTCGACGTGTAGGGTTTGGGTCTTAGGAAAGCAAGAGGGAAAGTGGGAGCTCAGGGCTGTTTGAGGTTTGGGGTGAGGTTGGGTGCAGGAGCAAGCCACATTGCGGCCATCTAGCTGCAAAAAGTCCCCCCTGTTTCTGCGCTGGCAAATCTTGGATGGTTTGAGCCAATTCACCCGGGGAGTTTGAAGCCGATTCATTGATTTTTTGTCGCAACACTGGCGTCTTTACCTTGACTGAGCAACCTTCCGGTTCCCGCCTGTTCCAGAAGCCCAGCTTGAAGGCAGCTTGCTAATGTTCTGGTACTGGTTCTCAAAGCAGCATGTCCCCAAGTTCAATGCATTTTCGAGACTTTCCTGGCTTGGCCTGGCAGAATGTTGTGGCCTATTGCAACGCACGCACGATGCGCATCGACCTGTGCAATTCTGGACATTCCCGGGTGATGCTCGGCAGCATGACATGAATTCTGCCTTCGCTGTTGTCTTCAAAGTCCAATTGAGGTCGCCGATATCATTGACCGGCACAGACACACTGATCTTGCGTGGTTTGGCTTCGCTGAACCAAGACCCTTCACTGTGCTATATGTCTATTGCGACGCAAGCAACTACTTCTTTGTTTGTGTCAGGTTTTAGTTGCGGCGCAAACGCTGAATCGGTTATGTCTGTGTTCGTAGTTGCTTTTCCGTCAGACTGCACACAAGCTCAATCAAGTTGCAACGCACACATTCTGGCCAACTGCCCGGTGTGCTCTCACTGCGCCGCGCGGTGGGAGGCCCGACGCATGAATTCGGGTGTGGTGCTGTCCTGGCACCGCTGCGTGCGGTACCCAGCGTGCCCCTTTGCCTACACCTTGCGGGAAGGTGTCGGGAGGGTCCTTCCTGACAAGCGAGGCAAACCAGAGTGACGGGCGACGTGACCTGTCGGCGATCTCCTCTTTTTCCTCACTGGAGCCGGCTCCTTTTCACGGCCCAGAGTAGAAAACATCTACATACCTTTGAAAACCTTGATGTCCTAGCAAATCTCTAGTTCCTCTATTTCTTCTAAATCTACAGGAGAGCCTTTTTTCCCATTCAAATTTCGACAGGAACCCATGCAAATGTGGAGAACGCAGAGGTTTTCTTGGTAAATGGAAAAACAGGAGGAAACAAAGGGTTTCCTACTGACATAGAGAGGAAGAGGTTTTCCTACTAAATCCTACTAACATATAGAGAAATTGGAGGTTTAGGAAAATAATATGTGCAAAGGAAATTGAGGTTACTCCAGGAAGATGTACACGAGATAGATAGTCCCTATGGACGATGTGAGGAACCCCAGGTTTTCACTAAGGAAGTCGGTTTTCTCTTAGGACATAGAGAAAATCATGCTTTCCTATCAAAGCTACAGAGAGAAGACAAGGTTTTCCTGCTCAACACCAGAGAAAATGTGCGCTTTTCTTTGGTGTTCTTACTTGTCCGAGCTGCCACACGCCTCCTCCGCAGCCAAAAAAAGCCACCCCCCCTGCAGCAAAAAATAAGGCGCCACCCTCCCCCCCCTCCCCCCGCTCCCCTCCCTGGGGCCGGGGGCCTCTTTACCCCCCAACGCAGCAAAAACAACGCGTCCCGCCTCCCTGCGCACCCGCAGCAAAAAGAGGACCGCCCCCGCACCCGCAGCGAAACAAATAAACGCGCCTCGCGCCCGCAGCAAATCTTACCCTGCACTCAGTGGAAGGGTTTACCTGAAGGTGCAGTTTTCGGGTCTATCCATGTGTGTATGTAGCCAAACTAGTCGGTGTCTGCAGTCCAGTACCTGAAAATCTCCTTCATCTTTTGCCTCGAATACCTTGGGCCTAAAAGCCAGAGATCCTGGTACCAGGACCTCTCCATGACACCTGGGCCGACGGCGGGAAGCGTTTGCATCATTGGCGAGCGCGACTGCAAAACAAGTCCGCCATGAACCAATTAGATTTGCCAGTTCTCCCCAAACCCTAAACCCTAAACCCTAAACCCTAAGCCCTAAGCCCTAATAAGCCCTAATAAGCCCTAAGCCCTAACTGGCCATTGCATGGGTACGCTCGCAGCATGAAAGAGGAGAGGCTACTCAACGCATGTGCTTGCTCCCCTCGGTTTCGGGGGATTTGAGCCCCATTTAGAGGCCCGGAAGCTTGATTAGGGGGTTTTGGTACCTAAAGTTAAGGCCCGGAGGCTTAAATTAAGGGTTTGGGACCTAACAAATTCGGGACTGGAGGCTTTAAATTAAGGAATTTGGGCCTAAAAATAAGGAACCGGACCTGCCTCGCATGAGGCCTACCCTGGCGTCATGCCCCTGATGATGCCGCTAGCTCAGCGCAGCACTCAGAATGCCGAGGTGCATGGCTCATAGGGTCTCCACGGAGCCCCGGAACGCTTATTATCCATTTAGTGTTTAGGGTTTAGGGTTTAGGGGTTAGGTTTCCATGGTTCACGTATACTTCTTTCCACCCGCTTTGGCTTTTGCAGGGTTGGGTGAGAAGCCCTTCACCTCAATAGCCACCCCAGCAAGCAAAGCAGGGCACCCTGTTGTCTCCTCTTTGGAGAAACAAGCAAAGGGTCATGAGTTTAGGCATCTAACCCCTAGCACCAAACTAAAAGGAGTGCCCATGAGTGGTTCAGAGTTAATCATAACTTTCTGATCATCATCATCATCATCATCGGCATCATCATAATCATTGTGACAGCAGCATCATCGTTCTGAACGTAGCCGTCGTATTAGGAGAGGGCGCAGTTCTGGTAATCGTACAGATGAGAACCACGACTAGGACCACGATTAGGACATTGCAAGATAGAGAAATTGTATCCGGACATCATCATAATCACAACAAAAGCACCAACAGCAGCAACATCCCGTTAAACTTTCACTTCATCACATTGCTCGGGTACGGGGTGGGGGGGGGGGGGGGGGGGGGGGGGGGGGGGGGGGGGGGGGGGGGGGGGGGGGGGGGGGGGGCACGTCTGATTGCAACAAAAGTAATACTGCACAAATGAGAACCCTGAAAGCCCTAAAACTGTAGCCATGATGACCCAACCAAAAACCAATCTTAGGCTCTGGAACCCCGAAACCCAAAGACCCGTCAGCCTCTAAAGCCCTAAACCACAACACTTCTTAAGCCCAATAAACCCTTCAAACGCCTAAACCCTGAACCCCGAAGCCATTACGCCCCATAAAGCCTGCACCCGAATCCCTACCCCTAAACCCCTAAACCCCTAAGCCAAGCCATTCCACCTCTTAAACCCGGCCCGCCCTTCTTTGGCCTTGCGAAGACCCGGCTTGCCGGTGATGATGCCACCGCCGCTTCCAGGTCAGCTCGGATGTTTTCTATGGGGCCTCAAGGGTTTTGGGGCTTGGTTTACGGGTTTAGGGGTTCAGGGGTTTAGGGGCTTGGGGTTTTCGGTTTAGAGTTTAGGGTTTACGTGGCGCAGCAGTACCCTTCTTCCCTTCTGGTCCAGAGCTTGGCACGGTAGATTGCCTGTTTCTAGGGGCTTTGGCCGTTGGAAATTGCACATGTTCCAGAGCATTAGGGCCGAGGATCGTTTGTGGGATTCTGTTCACAGGGTATGGTTTTTGGTGGAGGGCTTGTGGCTCAGGGTTAATTTTGTTTTGGTTGTTTATTTGTTTTTTGTGGAGGAGGGGGGGGGGGGGGGCTAGTGTTCAAGGCTCGAAAAACAAGGAGAAGGCCAAAGCTGGAGGAGGACCGTTTCGGGAGGTCGCTGCAGAGGCGGAGAGGGGAGATCCGTGATCGAGTTGGTGGAAAGTCCACTATGGTGGTGGTGTAGCCGATGCCGATGAAGGGCGGCAAGAGGGGCAATCGAAAACATACTGTAACATACTGGGGGTATTAGGGGCCATTGGTGCGTACCTCATGTAGAAGTAGTTGTTGATATTGCATGCCTCAACCCTACACCCTAAACCTTATGGCTCTGGGTCTGTACACCCTAGACCCCAAACCCCAAACCCTAAACCCTAAACCCTGCCCCCAAGGTCCACACTGGATGCCCGGCATGCCTGGGATGCCCGGCATGCCCGGCATGCCCCTGCCGCACCCGATGATGCCGCATCCGGCCATGCTGCCGCATGCGATGGCAGGAGGGGTTTGGGGGTTGAGGGGTTTGGGGGGTTTGGGGGGGTTGAGGGGTTTGCGGGGTTTAGGAGTTGAGGGGTTCAGGGTTTGCAGGCTTTCGAGTCCTGCCGAAAAAACACCAGAACGATCTTTCAAGATGGTTTGTGCACACCCAGGCCAAAAGACACAGAGTAGCGATGGCAGTTTCAAAATACAAGGGCTCAGAAGAGGAAGTGCCCCAGCAAAGTTAAGCCCAGCCCCCTTAAACCGCAAGCACTGAGCCCTAAACCCCGAATTTTTCAGTACCATTGAGCATTCAGAGCTAACAGCACCTGGGCAGGAATCCCCCGTCCTGCGGCCATGGCTCCAGGAGCTTCCCTTTGATTTCGCGGTGGGTTTAGTGCTCAGGGTGTGGGGTTTGGAATTCGTAGTTAGGGTTGATGTGGGTTTAGGGCTCATAGAGGGGGGTGTAGGGGTAAGTCAGGTTGATGAGGGCTCGGGGATTCTCGGACATGGAATTGTGGGTTCTTGCAGGTCTGTGTTTTGTTTTTTGCGCTGGGGGATTGCAAGGGGCCAGAGTGATCTGTGTTGAGGGCTCAGGAGTTTACAGTTGATGGTCTGAGAATGAGACTCTCACTTTCTTCGGCATCCAACATTCGGGGCATCATTTCATCATCGCTCAGCTGACTGGATTTCGAACGCCGCGTCCGTCTGCCTTTTCATAAGTACGACGTTACTTCATTCAGGTCCTGTGCTTGTTTGCCAGACTTGCGAATTGGTGCCAATCGGCAAGTTCTCTGTTGTAGTTCTCCCTGAACTTTACTTTGTAGACCCTAAACCTTTAACCCAGAACCCTAAACTCTTAAATCCTCCTCCTGAAATCTTACAGCCCAGACTCATCTCTATCTGCGAGGAGCTTGGATCCCGCAGGACAGCAGCAGCAGTAGCAGCAGTAGCAGCAGTCACCCGGCTTGGCATTGAAGGGTCTTCTACACATCAGTCTACTGGGTGATCTTGAGTTCGAAGAGCAATTGAGTCTTCCATTCTTGCCTGTTGGGTTTAGGTTAGTGCTCGCAGGCAAGAAGTTCACGGATTGAGGTTCGCAGAAGCCCACCAGGAGTGTGCCACAGCGGTTTAGGGCCAGGTGTTCATCCTGAGACGTTTTATGGCCAAAGGGTTTTGGGTGCAGAGTTTGGGTTTACAGTACCGAGGTTTCATGGGCGAAGCCCTAGGCCCCGAGCCTTAAACCCTAGCAGGAGATGGGGAAACTTCGCGCGCGCCCCATGCGCGAAACCCTAAACCCAAAACAGCCACAGAGTTTCTTGGGGGTTTCCCAAACTCGTTTTTCTTTTGTTTGGAATACCCTAAACCCTAAACCCTAAACCCTAAACCCTAAACCCTCTTTATAGTGGCTGGGGGTATATTAAAAAGTTCATGTTGGCAATCGACCCAAGTGGGGTGCTTTCAGGGCCTTTGATTTCACTACACTCGAGACCGACCTACACCCTAAACCCCCTCCCCTCAACCGTTTGCACTTATCATCTTTCAAGGCGGTTTATGGGGTTCGGGGGGTTTGTGGTTTCAGGGATAAGGGGCTGCGGGGTTTGGGACCGCGGACGCCAAGGGGAGAAATACGCTTCACAAGAAACCTAAAACGCTTCGAGAAAAGCAAGGTAGCGACAGCAGCGACAGCGATGATGACGAGGCCGGTCCTGCCACGGACCTCAGACGTTCAGACGGACGACATGGCCTAGGGCCTACCTAGGGCCACATTTTGCATTTTCCTTCAACGGGTTTAAGAGGATCATACTTAGGAATATTTTTCACAGGCTTGTTAATGGCCATCCTAGATGGGCCGGGTTGAAATGTTCGACTTCAATGCGCGTGAGGGTTCGCACAAGTTGACAGGTGCGGGTTACTCACCCTAAACCCTAATCCCAAAACCCTGAACCCTGAAACTGAATGGCCTTGGAGACAAAACGGAGCTGCTCCGGCTGAAGGGCAGACGAAGCATCCCTTCGAAGCATCTCCCAGGCAGCCCCAACAGCCGGCGTGGCGGTGGCTGCCGTTGCCAAGGTGCCACCGTGAAGGATTGTGTCTGGGTGTGTGTGTGTGTATATCTGTATATACATATACATGCATATATATATATATATATGGCCGCGTGCCAATATTAATTGCTTGTAACAGGGCCGCGGCCCACACACGCGACATACCCCGTTACAGAGGGTATGTATCAATGGCCGGGGTTTTGCGACAGACCTGTTTGTTGTTGTCTGCAGGTTCCAAGTCTTGCTTATCGGGGGGTAAGTGTTCGTTCAAGAAGCAAATATATGTATCCCTGAATTTGAAACCCCTTAAACTCTTAAAGGCTTGCTTATCGGGGGGTAAGTGTTCGTAAATTTCAAGAAGTTGTGAGGGTTCCAGGTCTTGCTTGTCGCGGCCAACCCCACTCAGTCCTCAACAGGAGGACTCTCTAGGCTTCAGGCAAAACACCCCCGAAGCCTGAAACCCGAAATTCCCGAAAATCAGTGTTCATGCCTCCCGGCGCGCGACATACCCCGTTACAAGTGCGTTACATACCCGCGACAGACCAAACACAGTCTATTGCGACATCTGCGTAAGCAACGTGCGCCCCAAATAGACGCATTATCGTCCTACCCCAATGCGCCCTGAGACCCGTTTGTAGTGCATGTATATGTATATGTATATATATATAATATAATAAACATGATACGAACGTGCGCGCGACAGAGGTCTGTAACAAGCCGGGCGTTACAGAGGTCTGTAACAGGTGGGCACGGGCGCGGGCCGCGACAACCGGGGGTTTAGGCGCACAGCCATATGACAATGTTATCATATATCAGAATGTGCTAACATGTCATTAGAGCATTTATACTCTACTATATACATTATACATGATGTCTATATTTGTATGTATGGGTATATAAAAGAGAAAGCGCAGTCCATGTGGTCTAAGCCGGGTTCTCATTCTTCAAAGTGTTTTGCTTCTCGTTGTATCCAGACCCGGAGTCGGCGTGCGAGTCTTCGCTAGCCGCTGGTGCTTTCGGCCATCGGTTTCTGGAGGGCCGCAAAGTGCTCTGACCTGGGACCCTCTTTACCTACAGTTTTATGGGTTATATACACCTACTCATTATCACTAATTAAGGGTAGTTGCTACTAAACCGTAGGTACATAGAGTCCCAGGGAGACCTTCTTACGGTTTGCCTACTTTTAGGGCGGCTACTTTGCCTTGTCAGCCTCGTCTCCCTGAGCTCGGAGCCACTGCAATGGCTGAAGAGGAGTCGCTTGGATTCATTGTCCTGGCATCAAGCCTTCCTCACAGCCTTGGCTCAGGGTGCCCGCAGAAACACAAAAAAAGTCAAGATCCAACGCCCCACATCCCCCCCCCCCCAACACACCACCCACGGTGTAATGCTATTGTAGGGCTTTGGGGGGTGTAAAGGGTTTACGTTTAGGTTATTCTAGGGCTTTAGGGATGTTTAGGGTTTAGGTTCTAGGCGTCTCGGCCCCAACAGAAGCACACCAAGAAGAGCCGCCGAAGGCCCATGCCGCCCCAGCCGGCCTGGCACCCTCCCAGCCAAAGGTGGGATGTGTTGGTTCCGGGTTCAGGGGGTTGTGGGTTCAGGGTTTAGGGTTTAGGGTTTAGGGAGAGTTTCAGCTCTCAAGGTGTTTCTCGAAGAGCTTCGAGGAGGGCTCGCAGGGGGACAAAATATGGGTTTGGAAAGCCAAACCCTGAAACCTAAAATGTCCCCGTAAACTCGAAATCATAAACCCTAAACCCTAAACTGAATTAACCAAATTAACCATTCCTAAACCCTGGCACTCCAAACCCTAGAGCCAGAGTCCCTTGTCAGGCTAAGCACACACACACACACCGAAGCGCTCAGCCGCCTGAACTCTAGAACCCCTGGATCCTTATGAAGCCTTAAACTGTCTTAGAAAACCCCACATCAAGCCCCTACACCCCTGTAAAACCCCCTGAAACCCCAAGCCACCTTGCCCCCCAATCCTAAACCCCAAAGCTTAAACCCACGTATCCTTGACCCTGAAAGACTCCAAGCGAAAGCCCCAAACCTACACCCTAAACCCAAAACGCCAAATCTGAAAACCCTCCACCCCACACCCCATCAACCCCATCAACCCTATCAACCTTGTCAACCCTATCAACCCTATAAACCCTAACAGCCCAATAAAACCCTAGCAACCCTATTGACCCTAAACCCCAAACGCCCCGAGCAGTTCAAGGCTGCCATGCCGAAATCTTCGGCAAAAGCGGAGGCCAAGGCAGCCCCAAAGGCGAGCGTTTTGGTTTAGGGTTTGGGGTTTAGGGTTTAGGGTTCAGGGCTTGCAGCATATTTTTCAAGGGGTTGCAGTCTGATTAGTTGGGCAAAACAAAGTCATTAGCGCTTTGGGCCTTTGTTTGGTCCAAGCAGCCAGTAGATGTACCTGAGGTACGCGGCCCACCGTGGGCTCTAGGGTTTAGGGTTTAGCAAAAGCCAGTGAACGGGAAGCAGCGAAATTCCATCCTGTCGGCCGACGAGCAACAGATGAGAAAAAGAGCAGATGCCCCTCACCCCATACCCCTTTATCGCACTGCATCCCTACATAACCCTTCCTTCCTTCCTGTGCTTGCAGCGGTCGCTGGTGCCGGCCAAAAGTGGGTCTGTCACCCTCTACATAACCCCGATATAACCCAAAAGACCCCCTCCCCCCAAAAAAAGAACTTAGACGTCAAGCAAAAACAAGCAGAGATGAAACCCTATAACCTCCAAAACCCTAAACCTTAAACCAAAGCCTAAACCCGATACCCTAAACCTTAAACCCGAAACCCTAAACCCTGAACCCTAAGCCTTAAACCCGAAGAGAAAGCTCAGCAGAAGTTCCGCCGGCAGGCAGGGAAGGCCCTGGCTGCCAAGGCCGCGGCCAAGGCAAAGTCGACGCCCCAGGCGCTGGGGTTTAGGGTTTAGGGTTTAGGGTTTAGGGTTTAGGGTTTAGGGTTTAGGGTTTAGGGTTTAGGGTTCGGGGCTACTATTTGCATAAGAACCCATGAAATCAAATAATAGTGAATCCCCAGAGTACCCTTATAAGGAAGAATCTGTTTTCCTGTTTGAACTTTTTTGGGGGTTCTCAAGCAAGTAGTAGAAGGCCGAAGGGTTCTTAGCGTTTGGGGCTTTGGGGGTTCATGGTCCTTTGGGCTTTAGGGTTTAGGGTTTGGGGCTTCTTGGGTTGAGGTTTCTTGGGTTTGGGGCTTCTTGGGATTCAGGCCTGGGGTTGGGGGTTGAAGGTTTAGAGCCAACTGCATCGCGTAACTCCCCTTAGCTTACGCCGTGGCCGACATGCCAGTCGCCCCAAGCCCTAAACTCCAAACCCTAAGTACCCTCAACACCTTGAAGGCCAAGGACCAATGCCTTGTCCCTGAAACGCCCAACAGATGATCCGAGCGATGGGCTTCTTTTTTTCGGGAGGTCTCTGTTTGTGGACGTTAGGGTTTAGGGTTGAAGGTTTACGGTGTGGACAAGGGTGGCCCAGAAGTTAGATCCGCCAACCCGACCCAAAACCCGCCAATGGCTAAGTCGGGCTTTGGTTTCTACCCTAGACCCTCAGCCCCTAAACCGCAAACCCTAGACACTCAGCCCCCTAAGCCTTAAAACCCTAAACGCTTATAACCCTGACAATCCTTACAACCGTTACGACTTGTGATCCCGAACAGTCCTTCATTGGGGATTATAGTACCCCCCCCCCCCCCCCCAAATCATACCCCATATGAAGGACTGTTATAAAAAGGGGGAGCATCCCAAGTTATAACTCTTGTAAGCCTAAATCCTACAAACCCGATAGAACCCCAAGCAGGTTCCGGCTACAGTCGTCATCCCCGACCCGAAGGTCGAGACGGTGAACCTGGATGTGCTTCGGCTTCTACATGGGGGGGGGGGGGGGGCTCCTTGGGGTTTAGGGTTTACAGGGTTTATGGGGTTTAGGGTTTCGGGTTTAGGCAGTCGGGCAGAAAATTAGGGCTTTCAGGATGTAGGGTTAGGGTTTAGGGTCAGATCTCCAAAGTCTCCCAGAGGTCTGAACCAGGGCACGTGATAAATCTAAGCTAAAGGGCCCCTGAAAAAGGTCCTCTATTGGTAAGATCCTATTCTTTGTGGCTTCAGCACTCCCCCCCCCCCCCCCCCCCCACTGTGCTGGGAAGGAAGGCAAAAGTAGATACGAGGAAATGATCGAAACCGCCTTTTTGGGGGAGGAGTGGGAACTCACCTCAAGTGTCCACCTGTGACTCCAGTATCCCTCATCCAGAAAAGCTTAGCTCTACATCCTAAACCAAGCTCGGGCTTGGGTTGCCTCAACCCTAAACCAAAATCCCCCTAAACCCCCGAAACCCCCTCGAAACCCACTAAACCCACCGAACCCCCCTAAACCCACTGAACCCCCTAAACCCCCTAAACCCTAAATGTGCAAAACTTCATGAGGACAGCAACAGCGACAGCAGCTCCTCTAGCTCAAGCTCCGACGACTCCGACGGGCCCCGCACCAGTAGGGCTTCGGGTTTAGGGTTTTTTAGGGTTTAGGGTTTAGGGTTTGGGGTTTAGGGTTTAGGGTTTCGGGTTTAGGGTTTAGGGTTTCGGGTTTAAACCGGGGGGCCGGGGGAGGGGGGGGGGGGTAAGCAGCAAGGAACCGAGAAAGTCCGAAGGTTTCCTTCTTGCGCCTTCGAAACGAACCGAGCCCATGCCCAGATCAGAAGTATCCCGTCCAATTCGAGTCTATAGTGTCTATAGTTTGGGGTTTACAGTTTGGGGCCGCGGATGATCTGATCTACAGTAAACTCTGAGACGCACGATCAGCACTGGGTCATGTTGCGTTTTCAGAAATCCTGGCTCGCGTGAAGAGCACCTATGTGCACAAAGTCCCAAACAAACCCACCCGCCCATCCGCCCACCCACCCACCCACCCACCCACCCACGCACGCACGCACGCACCCACACACCCACACACCCGCACACCCGCACACCCGCACACCCACACACACACACACACACACACACACACACACACACACACACACACACACACACACACACATCCATCCCCTCCACCCTCCACCCTCCACTCTGCAAGCAAGCTTGAATCGCCCCAGTCCACCCACAGGGCCGGGAAGTCAGCTCAGACGCCCGAAGTGAAAATCGCGCGCGCCCCAGTGGGGCGAGGCGATCGTTTTGCATCTTCGTGAGGGCGCTTGAGACTGTGGGTGAAAGCACATCCGGTCGCCATCACAGCTCTAGATCTCTGGGAATCTTCGGGCCTTCATGAATCCTGCATCCAAAAGCTTCGCGTCCTCAGCGTGCAATAGCAATCCTGCACCGTAGGGGCTGTAGGGGCTTACAGTCTAGGACCCAGAGCAAGCCCTGATTCCCTTTTTATAGGGCTTAGGTTCCTTGTAAGCCCCCAAAAAGTGCACCCTTTTATTCCTAGGTTACGCTTGGGTCTAGCAATGTAGCCTTAACGCTGGACCTCTAGGGAGCACTGGGGGGCGAAAGAGGACATCTGAGTCCGAATGCTTCCGAACCTGTTGCCCTGAACGAGGCCCAAACTGAAGCATGCATCTTCAGATCCTAGAAAGGGTTGGGGCAGCCCGAAACCCCAACGTCCTCAAATCCCTGAAGGCGAACCTTGAACGCTCACCCTACACCCTAAACCCTAAACCCCCTAAACCCTAAGACCTAAAATTCAAGCTCACCATGGCCCAGACCAAGACCACGGTCCATGGCTCAGAGCACTTCTTGGAACAGGGAGCAGGGTGGGGCGGCGGGCCTTTTGTGCCGATAAGGGTTTAGGGTTCGGGGTTTAGGGTTGAGGGTTTTTATAAAATTGAGGTTTAGGGTTTAGAGTTTCGCGACTACACTGCGCGTCGGATTCGAGGGTGCTCATGGCAGGTTCTTTGCGCTTCAAACCGCAAAATCCGACGCCAGCGCGATGGTGCTTCAAACCTTTTCGTTCCAAACCACAATTAGGTTTAGCGCCTTGGGATGTCTTTATCTTAGGGTTTCAGAGGATCTTCTTGAGGAAAATGCTTCAGAGGGAATCCACTGGCGACCCTGTGTCTCCTAAAGAAGAACAGCCCGGAGCCTAATGCTGGCAAGGAGTAGCCGCTTAAGAGGCACGCTGCCCTAATTTTGTAAGGCTCGTACGGGAGACCCTAAGCCCCAAATTTCAAAAAAAAACACAAGAACTTAGCTGGGAGCATCCGATCTTATGGGTACCTTATTGTGATCTTATGACAAGGGAATCCTACTATTTGCGGGTCTATAATGGGGGGTCCCTTATCATCGTAAACCCCACATATCGATCCATAAAATTTCGAAGGACCCGCGGGTGCGTACCACGCGCCAAGAAGCCCTGCACGAACCAGTGAGCTTCATGCAGGTGACGACCACGCTGGAGCCCATGTCGCAAGAGGCAACTTGGACTTAGCAACCCAATTATAACTACACTTATACCCGATTATAACCCTATCAGGGTACTTGAGGAGTACCCTGAACCTCCAAGAACGTGCAGCTAGGACCCAGAGTAGGCCCTTATTCCCCTGTTTTAAAGGCTTCCCTTACGCTCTATTCCTAGCCTACCCGTGAGACTCCAGGAAGTGCTTGCCAGCGAGCTCCGTGGTGAGGTCGAGGCCTGCCGCCTGTGCGGCTTTGGGGGAACTCCCTAAACTAGGGCCCCGGCCCCTTTTGGGGCTGCTCTTCTAAAGGCGGCCCCTAATATTTAGGGGACGCAAACAGGGACCATAATTTTGAGAAATGACCCTTTTTCGGTTTATAGGGCTTATAGGATTTAGATTTTTCGCCTAAAGTAACTACAACTTTTCCAGACTGCCCAAAACCCCAACTGTTCGCATGCTGGTTTCCCCCGAGGCTGGGTCAAGACCGTTTTTTTCGAAGCATCTTGTTCACTTACAAGGCAGAGGCAACACTTCATCCTGATCCTTTCAGGGTGGGTTTAGGGTTTAGGGCTTAGGGCTTGGGGTTTAGGGTTTAGGGTTCGGAAAGAGGATCCAAAGCAGCACAGCGGGGCCTAAACCCAAAGCATCAGAATACCCAATTGGCAACGCCCCAAACTCCCTCGAAAGCCTTCAGAAAGGTGCGAACCCACAAGCTCGCGCGAAGCAAAGTTTGAAGGCGTTTCTTGCGGAGAACCCCGTCGACCACGATGCCGGGATGCCTGCGGCAGGTGTTCGGGTCGATCTTCTCTCAGCGGAGGTCACTTCAGCCACTGAGGGCCCTCTTGAATTTTTAAATCCCAAAGCCTAAACTCTGTTTAGCTCAGAAGGTTTAGGAGCCCCAGATCCTACTGGACGGCGTACACAAAGTCTAAAAAATCCAAAGCCCTATTTGCAAGGCTCAATCCCTGAAGCCCTACCCCCATACATCACCTCAAAGGCATGATGGGCCAAAACACCCTCAACCACCGCCCCGCCCCCCCCCCCGCCCCCCAAAAAAACCCTGAGCCCTAACCTAAACCCCAAACCCCAGACCCTAAGCCCTAAACCCAAGACAAACAAAATATCCGCCGAAGCCTCAGAACGCTGAGTTCCGCAAGCCGAAGCTCTTGGAACCCTACAAATTCCCTGCAAAAACTCGAAAACCCTGTACGTTCAAGACCCCGTAAAACTTGCTTTGCTTTGCTGTCGCAGCTTCGAGTGAGAAGCCTAGCGTTCCGGAAAGGGCAGACAAGCTTTTAAGGCCCGGCATAAACATGAGACTACTGAGAACTATGAGGTGCAATAAAGCTGAAGAATGAAATGAGGCGAAACTATATCATAGCAGGAATGTCTGAAGAGCTGCTCCTCTGTGTGCCATCCTGTATGTGCCATGACCTGTCCCGCGCCGAAGCAGACCCCCTAAACGCCAGTTACATCCCGAAACAAAAAAGAAACACTGAATGACATTCCCTAACCAGCCTACAACCCCCCAAACCCCTCAGCCTCTCCGAACTAAGTCTCCCTAAGCCACCCCCTCCCCCTACCCGTGCGGCAGAAGCCGACGCGTAAGGCCGCGGAGCGACTGCGCGCGATGTCTTGGGATCAGCCCCTGCGCCGATCTACAGGGTGTTTAGGGTTTAGGGTTTAGGGTTCAGGGTTTAGGGTTCGTCTTTGAGTGGCGGGGGGGGAGGGTTCGGAGCCTGTTCGGGTTTTCAGGGGCTGAAGCTTTCAGAATTTGAGGTTCTTCAACGGTCTTCCGGGTTGAGGGTTGAGGGTTTCTGGTTTCGGGTTTAGGGTTGAGGGTGTACTTCTGGGCTTCGGAGGTGTTCTGGGCAGGGCGGGGGTTCTGTGGTTGCTCACCTGGGCGCCCATGAAGGCTCCTCCATCTACACTGAGTACCAACTCGGCTTCCTACTTTCACCCTAAGCCCCGGACCCTCGACCCTAAACCCTACTTGAAGGGGTCAGGGGTACTTAAAAAGTAGGGTTACAAGTCCATAGTTACGCCACTTCTCACCTCATATATAAGTGCCCGTGAACCTCCAAGTAAGGGACCTGGGCGATCATCACGTCGGGGATGGGTGAAGGACTCGCCTACAACAGGATGGAAGGGGTATCCCGTCGCCTCCGTCATGCTGCGTTCTTGGCAAACACGGCAACCACTTTTGGGATCCTCTTGCAGCACGATCATGGAGATCCCGAAACCCCATAGACCCCCTAAACTCGCTGAACCTCCTAAGTGGTAACCGAACTCCAAAGGCTTACAACAAGTGCCCGGCCTTATGTGCGGGCCCTACATACACCCTGTGGAACTCATAAGCGCGTTTACCCCCAAGAACCCTAGAAAGGCCTTCAAAAAGACCTGGACAAGCCTCTAAAAACCAGCAGCTTGTATACGAAGCCTAAAACAACCTCGAAGCACCAATGGGGCCCTGAGGCAGTTCCGGATCCTGGACCGTGGCGACTTGAGGCACTCCGGAAGGATCATGCGCGGCTTGCTCCTCCTTCGGTTCATTCTGATAAATTCTTTTCATCATTTTTCATCCGTCATGTTCATGACAACCCTTACACAGTAATCATTTGAACAATTTGCAGTGTGCGGGCCCGGGGTTGTTCTGAGCTTGAGGGTTCTGGGTAGTCGGGCAGTAGAAGGGCCTAAAACAAGTACCAAAGCAATCCCCGGAAGAGCATCGATGCCTCTAAACTCTAAACCCTAATCCTGAACCCTATAAGCCTTGAACCCGAAACCCCCTAAAGACCGCTCACGCTGCGAGGGCTGCCCGCAACCCATCTGCTGTGTTGGCTGCGCGCATGAAGCTGGGCAGCCGAAAAGGTTCGAGAGTCCTTCCATAAACAGGCTGCATGAACAGCTTATAGGGTCAGGGTTTGGGGCTTAGCAGTTTGCTGGCCTTGCGATTTCGGTACTCGCGGCCAGTCACGCCCCTTTCTTGGAGAGCTTCGGAACTTGGGATGAAGTGGCGTTGAAGACATACAAGCGTGCAAGCCAGGACCGGAAGTGACAGCTCCACACCCCATAGGTGGTCCAAAGTACACAGACTCCGAAGCCCTGTCTTGCTTGTTCCGAAACCTTCCGGGCCTGGGGCCTGAAACCCTCAACCATGCTTGGGGTCTCCAAGCCTTCAACCGCTCACAGCTGTAGCTTGCAAAGCCCAGGAAGGAGGTCGAGAGTGGCGGCGTGGCCCAGGCGTCTAACGGGACACGGGACTATTCAGGGTAAGTTCACGGTTCAGGGTTTAGGGTTGAGGGTTGAGGGTTCTGAGGGTCTAGGGTTTAGGGTTCAGAACGAGGCCTAGCCCCTGATGCCACTGTTTTTAGGGTTTGGAATTCTCGAAGTCTGCAGCTTACAGGTCAATCTTTGCAATTGCCACCCTCTTTGCGCAAGTCGGCTTCCTACACCAAATCTGCACACGAAACGTGCAAGAACATATGCGAACGCATACCCAGCCATAAGCCCGAAACGCTGAACCCGAAACCCTTTGAAATCCGAACAAAGCCTGGAACTTTGTGCCTGGGCTCAAGTTTCCGGGTTTTTGGTACAGATCTAGGGAAAAGGGTTAGGGTTTAGGTTTAGGGGCTTCGGGTGTAGCATCGGTCAATGGAACGCAGTAGTGTGAAGACATGGCCCCAAAACAACCCAATCACAACTGACGGCGAGCCAAGCCAAGCCACATTCGCCATCGCCCTCGTCAAAGAGATTGGGGTCCCGAAGCATATCCAAGATTGTTTGGAAATCAAGTTGCAGGTTTCTACACGTAAGGGCTCCGTTCGGGGTTGTCTAGAACAAGGGCCTTCCTCATCAGGATACTCAACGCAAACTTTGGGGACACTCAGGCCGGAGGAAGGTTTGTTGATTGCCTTCCTTTGAGCCTCTATGGGCTTCGAGGCCTCTAAGAAGCCTTCCAAGGCCCCAGGGGCTTCCAGGCGTGGTCCAGGGGCCTGCAAAGGGCCAAAAGGATGCTATTGGGAAAGACTGGGGGTGGGGTTTATTGTAAGCTTTTGCGACCCCTCAAGGGTGCTGCTGCAGGCTCTGCAGCCCGCCTACCCCAGCAGAGCGGTGAGAGTGGTGGCGGGCAAATTTAGGTTTCGGGGCTTAGGGTATGGGGAAGGCTTAGCATTTCGGTGGGGGGTTTCGGGTTTACGGGCTCACGGTTAAATTCGCGTCTATGTGTGACGGAGTTTCACGTTTATTGGCTAACCCTTCAGTAAACGCCTGAACCCTGAATCCCAGAGTTCGGGTTTCAAGGTTTCCGGGGTGCAGCGTCCGGTGCGCAGGGGAAGTTTCCCAGCGAGGCCACCATGTTCAGCACCGCGCCAGGAGCCTAACTATTCAACCCGACATGTATTATACTTACACAAATAAAACATCGACAACGGCAACGACAACCACAACCACAACAGCAACAGCAACAACAACAACAACAACAACAACAACAACAAAAACAAAAACAAGGCCCTAACCCCCCCCCCCCCCAACATCAGCAAGCCCCTACAGCTCTGAAGCTCTGTAACCCCTAAACCCCTAAACCCTAGATCGGCTGCTTGCTGGGGATGTTGCAAGGATACGGGACACAGGGGTGCGCGGAGCTCATGTGCGAGGGGGGTCCTTCCATGATTGAGGGTTTCAGGGTTAGGGTTCGAGCTTGCAATTTTGGCTCATAAGCCATCTCAAGCCAAACCCTCTCATCGAACCCCAAACCACAACCTCCATCTTCTAAACCCTATAAGCCCCTAACCCTTTTATAAATCAGTAACTCCCTGCTCGGCGCTAGACCCCCTAGTTCCGAATCCTCGAAGCCCCTAATCCCCCTTCATCCGAAATCCCCTAAACCCTAAACCCCATCTTAGAACCGCCATTTTTCCTAAACCCCATGAATCCCGCAGTCTGTCTTTCCAGAGGAGCTGCGGACTCGATGCTTTGAGAGCGGCGCTTGTGGGAAAGGATGTCAAAAAGCTGACGACCCCACCTGGGTAATACAGCGGTCGGAATAACTAACAATTTGGGATGTTCCCCCTCTATCCCCTATAAAAATCCCTAGTAAGGACTGTTAGTATAGGGGGGCACATCCTAACCAATAGTAGCCTATTCTGCCTACTCTAGCTTGGTAAGGCCCCCATATTAGTTCTCTAAATTGAGGTCCCTGTTTGGGCCCCCCATATACTACGGCACGCTGAGAACAAAAGGACCCCCCCAAACAAAAAAAGGACCCTAATTTAGAGAACTACCTACCTGCCTACGTGCTTGTCTTGGTTTTGGTTTCGCAAAAAAAATGCATACCTTACAGTTCAGGGCGGCAAAGAGTTTTTGGCCCAAAAGCCGTAGCTTTGTCATCCAGCCTACAGCCCGGAGACACTTCGGATACTTATGCCGGCTCCCTCCCCTCTAAGATTCCCTTCCCTAATCCCTAAACCCTAACCCTTGTCAAAACCCTAAACCCTACTGGCTACCGTGATTCAACTAGAAGACCCCCGACTGACGACGATGGAGTTTGATTGCAAGCATGCCGGCCCCCCCATGGCCCGAACACAGGCTTTCTCGGCTCAAGAAAGTCTCAGAGCCTTCTGAAGCGACTCGCGTGAGGGAGCCCTTACAGCCCTGAACCCCTAAGACCCTAAACCCCTGAAACCCTAAACCCTTCATAAAGAGGTCAGAAGAACTGCGAAGAGTACTCCCTCATAATCCCTTGGTGATTATAAGATAGTAAGGAACCCCCCCAAAAGCCCTATTCTAATTCTTCAGGCTCCTAAACCCCAAACCCTAAACCCTCAACCCCAGACCCCAAACCCATTCAGCCGGTGGGGGCCTCTTTTTTTGCATCCGCGAGGCTCGACGGTTGGATGGGCATTGGGAGAGACCCTAAACCCTACAATTCACAGAAGCAAGGTTTAGGGTTTAGGGATTGGGGATTAGGGATTAGGGTGTAGGGTTTAGGGTTTTTTCGGGTTGGTTGCAATGGGATTCCTGTCCGGATGGCTGGTTGACCCCAGGACTTTGTGGTGAAAAGGGATGGGTCTCCTTCCCACTTCAACGACAAGTGAACGCGAAAAACGCTACTAAGACAGGTCAAGGCGTCTCAGTTGGGGGTGGTGCTGCTAAGGATCCACATCAAGGGGAACACAGAAAGAGGGAGAGAGAGAGAGGCCCAGGGCAAGCCAGGGACGAGTTCTAGCGAGAGTAGTGAAGTCCTGTTGTGTTGCCAGCAGTTTCAAAGATCTCCGGTTAGCCAAAAGCAGGCGCGTGCAACTTGTGCCAAGGGGAACCCCCCTGAAGCCCCTCGAAAGATAAAAAGAGAGAGAGAGAGAGCGAGAGAGAGAGAGAGAGCGCTTACTTGTGCGCAGGCCACTGGATATGAAACGGTGATGCTGTGGTGGACCTTGAGGACCATGCAAAAGTTCACCAGACGTCGAAAGGGCTAGAAAGAGCGTCAGAAACTCGTGAGTAAAGCAATGTACACCCTAGACCCTACCTGGGACCCTTTTTATCTACCATTCTATGGGTTATACCTACTAGTTAAGGGTAGTTACGACTAACCTGTAGGTACATAGAGCCCCAGGTAGAACCTAAATTCCCTCAAGCCTGTTGCGCCTTCAAGCCTTCGGGCCAGATGGGACGGCGGCACGTTGTTTTTCGCGAATGCCTCGAGAACCTGTGGTTTAGGGTTTAGGGTTTTTTGTGGTGTAGCTCCCCCTCCCTCACCCCTACCCTCCAACACAAAGACAATACCCCGGCCCCCTTCCCCCCCCCCCCCCCCCCCCCCCCGCCCTCCCCGCTCGCAGGCTAACCCTTAATGTCTTATGAGATCATAGTAATATATGTCTGTGAGGTCCCGATATTGTTTGGAGAGGGTGTGGCCTTGTTTGCACGAGGCTTGCTTGAAGCGCAAGGCTTGGGTCTCATAAACCTGCAGCCCTTAGGGTTTGAAGGGGTGGGCTTAGAAGGCTTCTTGGCACTTATGATGTCTGATAGGGATTACAGGGTTATATGGCTTGTAGGCTCATAGGGCCTATAGCCTGTGTCGGGTTTATAGGGCTTATCGTGTTTAGGGGCTAGGGTCCAGACTTTCTGAAGTGCAGAACTCAGGAACACAGAGCTCATGGGCCGAGAAGCTACAGCCTCCAAAATCGGACTCAGGATGTCTCCCTGCATATGCAAGAGCCAAGGGAGTACAAGCAGCATATTTGATTAGGGGT